CCCCCGCCACCACCAAATACAGCCTCACTATCAGACTTTATGGGGCCTGGCCACAAGGGACAAGGGAGCTGATCGTCCACCTTCCTCAGGCCCCTAGAGCCCAACCTGAGCCAGGTTAAGCTGGCAGCAGGGCCTCAGGACCCTGGATCCACAGACTCCCCTTTCCAGTTCCTGGTTTCAGTTCTCTGGGCCCAGGTCTAACCTCAGGTCCTTTCTTGCTGGATTTCCTCTTGAAGGATGCTCTCTTTTTCTTCTTGCTGGCCTTGAGGGTATTCTGCAAGGGAAGCAGGGGGCATTGGTGACTAGGTTTGGCTGGTAGATCCCATTGGGGAGAGGTACCAAGAGTATAGGAAAGACTCACCTGCGGCCTCCGGGCTCGCAGGATCCAGGTGGGTGGGATGACCACAGCTGCATGGACCCCCAGGGAGCAGGGCTCCTCGATCTGCTGCAGCATGAAGCACGACACCTTGCTGTGATACTGGAAGGCAACCATGGGCAAGGCTGAGCTGGGCTGAGCTGGGCTGGACCTAGAGCTCAACAGCAGCCCAGCCCAGTCCAGCTCATGGGGGCCACTCACCGCCTGTTTGCACCAGGAGCAACTGATGGCCACGATCTCCTTGCTGTGGAAGGTGAACTTCTGCTGAAAGCCCTGAGGGTGGACAGGGTGGCTTGGGCATAAGGTGTCCTAGCAGAGACCCAGCTATGAGACCGTTGTAAACCTCTCTCCACCCAGGAAAACCAAGGACATTAAAAAAAAAAATTAACCCAAAATATAAAATAAGCTGTAAGGGCGGGGAAGCTTAGGTAGGAGCCCATGACCACTGGAGTTTACTGCAAAGTGCTAAGCACACTGGTGCTCTGGAGGATGAGGGTTGGCTCATGCCCACCTCAAGTTTCTTCTTCCTGCCCTCAGACCTAGAGAGGCCCCCTGAAAGTTTTGTGCTATTTATTGTACATATCACTCACGCCCTGTTCACAAACTGTTATCAAGGGCTATTATGTACAGAGCACTGAGAAAAAAATGGAGGGAGGGACCCCTGCATTCCTGAGAGCTTTCCCTTACAGGAAGACAGACAAGCAGCAAATGTGAGCCAAGCAGCTGTGTGCAGCGCAGGGGAAGACACTGTGCAGCCTGAAAGTCACTGTCCTCAGGAGACAGGGAACCCACTCCCCAGCTCAGGGCTTCACATACAACATTCACTCAGTAACTATCTACTGAATTAATGAATGAAAAGTCAATATAGGGGGCTGGAGAGATGGCTCAGCAGTTAAGAGCACTGGCTGTTCTTTAGAGGACATGGGTTCGGTTCCCAGCACCTATATGGTGGCTAATAACTGTCCATAACTTCAATTCCAGGGAATCCAACACCCTCTCTCTGCTCTATGGGCACTGTACCACATGGGTGCACTTACATGCAGGTGCAACACTCACACACATAAAAAATAAAAAAAAAAAAAAAATTTTAAAAGCCAATGTAATGTTCAAAGGGTCCCTTATGAGTTCAAAGGTCAGGCACCCCACACTGAAAGAAAACCTTCCCAGCCCTGTGTAGCTCAGAGACCAAGGGCATACATAATCAAGGGATTTGGGGACCGACAACAAGCCTGATACTCCACTCTGAGGCTGTAGTCTGTGTTCATAGTGGACAGAGCCAGCAGGAGGCATGTGGCTGGCACCCTGAGGCGGGGCCTTTACCTTCCCACAATGCCGACACTTGCCATCCTGGCGTCGCCTGTGTACCCAGTGGTGCCTTACGAAGGTTGGCTGGGGGAGGAGAGAAATGTCACTGGAAAGAGTAAGGGGTTGAACAGCCTGCCATCTCTCAGTGATCAGACATAAGAACTGGAAAATCCTCTGCAGTCCCCTGTACTAAGGTGAAAGGGGTACAGACTTCTCTCCATGGTTTGGAAAGAAGGCTGAGACCCAGCAGAGACAGAGAGATGGGACCCTTTATGCACATTCCCCACCCTTCTTGCCTCCCATTTGTGTGACCCCAGAGCCTCAGCCTAGAAGCTTAGCCCCCCTGTGGCACTCCTCAGGTACTGCAGAGAGATCCATTCAATAACCTCCTGGCCCAACTCTCTCTGGTTCCTAACTCCTGCCCTTCACTTACCTCACGAATATTCCTGGAGCCTGATTCACGGAAGGATGGCTTACAGCGGAAATTTATCTGTGAAACATTGCAGTGACCACCATAATGTCAGAGCATCTTTTTAGAGAGGGTCACCCAGAGTCAACCTCACAGGCAAGGAGAATCCCAACCATCTCTGGAGCCCTTGGAACATGGACACCTCCTCTTAGAAGCCCTCCTGCCCACTGGTCAGAGGGATTTTCTCTCCTTCTACCCAGGATGCAGGTGACTCTGTGTCTATCTCACGTTAAAGTGGGAGCACTGCTGCTTATCCCATTTTCCTTGCCCTTCTGCACTCTCAGCTCAGATGAAGGCAGGAACCCAATCCCTCCAGTGGACTATGCCAACTGGTACCTGGAGACCTTTAGCCCATGTGCTAAACCTAGGTTCTATGGTCACCTTCCACAATGGGGCTGTGCCCCCCAATTTTTTTTAATTATGTAAATTTTTGAGACAGGGTCTCCTTCTGTAGCTTTGGCTGGCTGGCCTGAAATTCTCTATGTAAACCAGACTGGCTTTGAAACTTGCAGCATCCTTCCACCCCTACCTACCAAGTGCTGAGGTTACAGGCATGTCCCACCATGCCCAGCCTGGGCTGCATTTCTGCTCTTTTCCCAACAGTGCCTACTTTAGCCTCAGAAGGGTCACAGGGATGCATTATTCTACAGTTCAGGAACTAGAAAAAGCAGCCCCAACCAGCCTTGCTCATGACATTTCAAAGACTTTGTCATGCTGGCCTGGATTTCTGCAGCAGGGAGCTCTTATTTTTTATGCCAATTCTCTACTCCCTGCCTTGACCTGCCAGCCTAACATTCTCTTTCCATCCCACACACGTGCTTGGGCAACGGTCATTCGGAAAGGTCTCTATGGAGGTAGCATATAAGGAACACAAGATGGGCCTGGTCACAGATGAAGAGGAAATTTGACATTTTTGTTTTTCTTTTCTGGAACTGGGAACTGAACCTAGTACAAGCCTCCAGCACTAAGCTATATCCCCAGCCCTTGACAGCCTCTTCAAGAAAATAGCATAATGGACATTACTTATTAATTCATATCATTTAGGTGATACCCCACGATCCCTACTCTATACCATGTTTGTTCTACGTATCCGTAGCTACTAAACACAGGGTGGGGGTAGGATGCAAAGCAGGTATTTGGCCCTGAAATTCTTGACACTTCATTACACTCTGCATGCTAGGTCATTCCTGGCACGAAGATACTTGAGTGTGTATGTCAAGAGAACCTCAGTGTTCCTCAGGATACAACAGCTGAGCAGCCACACGCACCTTCTCCAGCTGTTCAATGCATGGGGTGTGCACAACAATCTTGCAGGCTGCACACTTTCTTCTGGATGCTGATTTCTGCTATCAGACAGAAAGAGAAGGCCTTGAGGCACCAGGTAACTCCAGCTTCAGGGCAACACCTCAGGGCAAGCAAAGAACATGTCCTATCTATGGGGGGGTCCCAGTCCCACTCGGCATCAGTCAAGGCCCCCTTATCCCTGTCCCTGGGGCAGACCACAGCAAGTATACCCAGGTGAGAGCTGCAAGTTGCAGCTGCTGTCTGCAGAAGTCCAGACCCCATTCTGCCACCAGAGGGCAGCAGGTCCCATCAAACTCACTCACCAGCATTTTAGCCACACAGTACTGTTCCCCAACATAGCAAAAGTCACCGGATACATTGGTCTCAAACCAGATGTGCTCCCCATACGTTGCTGACTCCTAACCAATGAAATAAGCATGCTCAGTGCTCATTTGCTACCCATCATCCATCTCCCAAGACAAACCTGCTGCAGACACAATGCTTTCCTCTGTCCTGTTTTCCCAACGACTCTTTAAAACTAGCTTAAAGGTTGTCCCTTCTCCCTGCAAGTCTGCAGACCTGGGGGCTCCTCTCCCAGGTGCCCACAAGCCCTTGTTCTGACTGCTCAGGAGGACCAGAGCCCAGGAAGGGCTGGCACCCAGTGGTGTTCAGGCTTCCAGCCCTGCCCAGTATACAGATACTCACACTCCAGTCCACAGTGCTCCGGATCTGCTGCTCAGATTCACCACACAGGGCCCCAGGGGTGGGAAGAGGGGGTGCCAGATGTTGGAGGCCCGACTTGGTGATGGCTTTCCTACAGAAAAGAGACCAGCTGAAGTCCCAGGGCCAGCTGGGCACTTGTTGACTCTACTTCCTTCCTCAGCACCTGGAAAACCTGCCGTGGCATGACCTCCACCAAGACAGAGCCAGCAGCAGGGAGGTAGAGGAGCTCACAGGAGCTCAGGTGCTTTTAACAGGAGACTCTATCCTTCTCAGGCCTTTCTGGTGTGCTGGCTTCTAGCACTTCCCAGAGTTGCTTCCAAGTGGGCCACCCTCAGTTCAGGCAGAACTTCAAGCCCTGACCCTGAGCCAGAACCCTTAGAGGCCACACCACTTGCCCTGCTGGTTGCTACTATACCTACATAAGCAGGGTACTCCAAGGCTGGGGTCCAGCTGACTTGCGTCTCAGGGCTACCTGGCGCCTGCGGGACAGTAGGCGCCCACAGGCTGGTATCATGGGGCCCACTGAGGTGCCTGAGGCTCTTTGGCTTTGGCTTCCAGGACCAGGGTGCTGGCTTGATGGCCACCGCTGGCTGAGGCGACGATAGTGGCCATGCAGGCCCCAAAGAGTGTGGCCATATACCACATCAGCAGGGAGAAGGTGGGAGGAGGCTTGGCGCAGGCAACAGGGCATGTGAAGCAAAGGCAGGGTGCCCTGGTGTAAGTAGGAAGATGGAGGTGTCCTGGTGCCTTGCTGGGCATCACTTGATGCCCCAACTGGCTCATCTCCCTCCTGAACCCCTTCTTCCTCTTCCTCCTTCATGCCCACAAGCCCAGCTAACAGCACAGGTGCACCCAAAAGCTGGGCACCAACAGTGGTGGACTGCAGAGTGGGCACTTTATCCACCATGAAGCGGGGGTTGCAGGCAGGGGGTGCAGTGCTGGAGCGCCTACGACTGGTATTTCGGGTGTGCACCCCACAGCTGGGGAGACAGCCTTGGAGCTGTGCACTTGAGCGGCGCCTCTGGGCCAATGAGGAGGAGGCCTGCCCTGCAGGGGAGTGGCGTCGAGCCTTGCCTGTGGGCAGCCCCACACTACTGCACCGCCGCTGCCCCTCTCCAGGGCCTGGTGCCTTCTGCTGGAAGTGTCTCCTAAAGAAGGTCTCCATGCCAAGGGCAGGCCAGTGGCTGTTGGGCATACAAACCAGGAGCATTAGGAGCTGGGCTAAGCTGAAGCCCATCTGCCTCATGAGCCAAGAAGGGACACCTAGTGCTACAGACAAGGGCCTGTGGCCTCAGTGACTAGTGCTGGCAGATACCAGGAATTTGCAGGGAGCCCAGGCATACACCTGTTGGAGGGCAGACACTTGCCCAGCTACGTCTCCTTCAGTAGGAGGGCTTCCCCTGCCCAGGCACAGAACCTACAGAAGCCGAAAGAACTTTACCTCCCTTACTGATGGAAGAGAAAACAGTAAGTAATCTGAACATCGAAATCTGCCTGAGCAAACTGTGGGTCCCTGGGCCCTTTCCCTCTCATTGGGCTTCCTTTTAAGCCCAACAGACTGGGTTTCCCCTCCTGGGATATAGTACAACTACGCAAAGAGTAAAATTAGGCTCTGCAAAGCATCTTAGTCTTGATAAGACCCCCATACTCAGCACCAGCCCTGAGGTCAAGAGGCCCTGAGAAACCAGGCTTCAGAACTAGAGGCAGCCCCCTAGGGAAGAGTGCTCGTCTTAATTTGGGGAGGGGGAGGGATAGGCCAAAGTAAGAGGCATAGGCCAAAAGGAATGCCTTCTGGGAGCTAGAGAGATGGCTCAGTGGTTAAGAATACTTGTTGCTCTTGCAGAGAACCAGAGCTCAGTTCCAAACCAGCACCTACATCCTAGCACTCAGGAGGCCAGAGGCAGGTGGATCTCTCTGAGTTCCTATCTACAAACAAAACAAAACAAAACCAAAACAAAACAGGAAGAAGAAAGGAAGGAGGGAAAGAGGGAAGGCCTTCTGGGTGCTGGGTGTGGGTATGTATGTCTCTTTAGAAACTTCCTACAATTCAGTGGCTCAGCCTGACCTTTCTGAAGGGGCTGAGTATGGCTATCGTAGGTGTGATGTCTGAAAACCTGGTAGGCCCTGCTGCTGAGGGATCCTGAGGCTTGAAGCCTCAGGCTCATAATTCTAAGGCACAAATTCTGCCTCTTTCTGGGAAGCAGGGGCCTTGGGCTCCACCCTTGCTTTACTGGGCTACTCTTTATCTGTTCCTCTACCCTGCCCTTGCCTCCTTCCCAGGCCACTGGGATCAGTTTCCTGTGCCCATGAAAATTGAGAGGTGATAGCTCCAAGAGCCTAGGGATACCCTTGTACCTTCCAGGTGTTTTCCTGGGCTCTGAGCCCTGAGACTCAGGACAGGGAATGTAGCCTAGCACCCAGCAACCATGGAGGCCCAAGTCACAGCTACAGAATAAATTATAGCCAAAGAAGGATGCTGTTAGGATGACAGGTAGTCAACTTTTGCCTGCTGAGAGCTTGGATGAAGCCCCAAGTGGGGATCACCGGCAGTGGGCAGGAGAAAGGACAGCCTTGAAGGAATCCTGCTGACTGTGTATAGCATCTCCTTGATCCTTGATCTGTACAGTCTTATCAGTCTAGGGCAGGTGGCTTCAGAGCCAGTATAGGGTATAACAGAGAGACAAATGGGCCAAGGGGCTGAGCTCCTACAATCAGTGAGCAGGAAGCAGCAATGCTGGGGAAGCAGTAGATTGTCACATGGCAGCATGGTTACAACCCTGAAACGTGTCCTCTGGGACCAGACAGACCGGACAAGAGGTGAGCTCCAGAGGCATGTGCAGACATGATAGATGAGTGCTGGCTTCCTCCTAAAATTGGTGACTAGGCCTACTATATCTCAGGCCTTGAGCTGGGCCCTTCATACACATATAACATATGCCTGATGAGGAAACTGAGGCAGAGAGGGGTAACATACATAAAGCCCACAGCCAGATAGTATGGAGCAGGTGTCAGGACCTGGGTCTGCCCCAGGGATGGGGGAGTGCAAGTTCTTTCTTCTCGGACCCGTGAATGGATTTGAGATAGGTTAGAGAAAGGACCATAATAACAACAGCCATCCTGTTTACCCAACGACAAGCCGAGGGTAAGGCCTCTCCCATCTCATTTGATCCTACCATGGCCCTGTGCAGGAGGCAGGCCCAATAGCTCCATTAAGCAGATGAGGAAACTGAGGTTCACAGAGTGGCAAGAGCATGCCCAGAATCCCACAGCCAGTCAGTGGCAAAGCCAGGGTCCTGGGATACTTGAAGCAGGGTCTACTCTCTGTCCTGGGAAAAGAGGAACCTGCAGGCCCAGCTGCCCACTACTGCCAGGACACTAGCTTGCCAGTTCTCCCTAGGGTGTCAGCTTTCCCCACTCATCTGCTCAGGCAGCCCTGTGACAGCTGCCCAGCCTGGAGGAGATTAGTCACCCGGACACACCACCTGATGCTAGTGTCACCCAGAAAACAAAAGACCACAGTCAGTGTGGGGGAGGTGCTGCTGTGCTCCCCAGGCAGCATAAAAACTGGGCCTTCTCTGCTGTCCCAGACCTGCATGACAACAATACTAGAAAGAAGCAGACCCTGTTATGACACGGGGCAGCTTACAGGTGCCACCACAGAGCTCTGCCCCACACTCTGCTGGGGCTCCAAGATACACTAGTGCACAAGTCTCCTCAGCTGCCTTGGGGTACAGCCCCTCCCAGCGGAGCACAAGGCTAAGCCAGTGTCATAGGCCTCAGTTTCCCTGTCTGTCCAAGGAGACTTAAGATTGGCTGACATCTTCTGACAAGCTCTCCTGCTAGTCAACCCTCTCCCAAGCCCTGGCTTCCAGTTCATCTTGTCTCCATAGAAACCCTGGTCCACTGACCAGAGAGCGCCTGACTCCTCACTTCTATCTCTGCTGAGGCTTCTCCAGGGTCTAATCAGGGCTGTGCTAAGTAGCCCATGCCTTTAATTCTAGCACTTGGGAAGCTGAGGCAGGAGGTTTGTTTTAAGTCGAAAGTCACCTTGGGCTACAAAGTGAGTTCCAGACTAGCCTGGGCTTCTATAAGAGATTCTGTCTCAAAACAAACAGACCAAAAATCCAGGTGTGATGGTGCATACCTTTAATCCCAGTACTTGGGAGGCAGAGGAGGCAGGATCCCTGTGAGATTGAGGCCAGCCTGTCTACATAATGAGTTCTAGGCCAACTATGGCTACAGGGAGACCTTGTCTCAAAAAGACAAACAAGACACACACACACACACACACACACACACACACACATAGATCAAACAAAAAAAGCCCTGTCTGGGCCGGGAGCTCTTCCCATGTGAAGCTCTGTGTGGTTGTCTCTTCTCACCACATAACTGTCACCTCTATATACCACTCAGTAATACATAAAGGTCATGGAGGAGGCCCCACAGAGTTCTGACACTAACAGTACAGCAAAATGGTTGCCCCTGGGCTTCCTGGTATCTGGGGAAGCCAGTCACACAGAGGGAAAAGCTCAGGGGACCCCATCAACCCACATCTGGCTCCCAGGAGCCTGACAAGGACAGGGCCTGTGGGAAGGCAAAGGATGTTAAGAATGATACAGGCACAGTGGTATCTGGCCAGGTGCCCTTGATGAGTGGTGGGATTGCAGCAGCAGAGCAAAGACAGTTGGTGGGGGGTAGTGGACTCGAGCGCTTCCTTGGTTGCTACCCACTAGAAAGGGTTCCTGGCCTCCCAGCTAGATCATCTCCTACCTGATGGGACAGCAAGCACTTTGGAAAACCTGGTATGGTGGGACAAGCCTGTAATCCCCAGCATGTGGGAGGTAGCGAGAGACAGGAGGATCAGAAGTTCAAGGTCATCCTCTACTACATAGTAATTTCAAGATGTCTGGGCTACATAGGACCCTGTCTCAAAAAATAAAAATAAAAATGGAAACAAGCATCTATCTGCCATGGTGACCCTGGGCAGAGTGACTGGCCTTTCCAAGCCTGTTCTCTCAGGTGCAAGATGGGATCACACCATCTAGTTCCAAAGGCTGCCTGACACAAGGTGGTCCTGTGGTAGCGATGGGC